TGATCGATGACGATCAATGATCGATGACGATCGGTAGTGATTGACGACGATATTAATGTTGAACTGCAAAAAAAAAATGTATTAGTTCCCCTCTATTAAATTAAAATCATAATAAAAGACTGACAACAAAGATGAAAAATCATTGATGGTCCCCTTGCCACTTGAAATAAAAATAAAAAAAAATTAAAATTACGGGTCAGATCGGGTCATCCGGGTAGTTCACACCTGTCCACCAATCATTGCAGGCCGCTACACATTCCGCTACAATCCCCAACTCTGCTTTCTCCGTGGATTCTGCTAACCCGTCTCTTTCGCTTATCTGGAATCTGCTTCCTCTTCTACACTTTCCGGCAGTAACTCCGGTTGGTCCCATGGCCGGAGTTCGATTCGGCCGTAACGCGAAACCCCGCGCTCCACTCAGCTTCTGCTTGAAAGTCTCTCTTGTAGTTCTCGTCGGCCTGTCCTTCTTCGTCGTCTGGTCCGTCTTCTCCTCACCCTCTTCCTCGGTCTCTACTAGACGTGACAACTTCGACGACATCCAAAGGAGCCCTTCAGCTCGGAATCATTCCATAGCTTCCATAACTCCACCTCCCGCTCCGGCGAAGCCGAGCAGGAGCAGGAACGAGAGCGAATCTTCGGTTCGCAAGGAAGAGAAGAAGGCAGTGGTCGAACAGAAGGCTGATCCCAAGGCGAATCCCGACGAGGAGCGTGCTGAGGGCGAAGAGGAAGTAGAAATCGACGTTGAGGATGGAGTGGATGTGAATCAGGAAGGGTATAACGATTCATCTGGTGAGGAGAATGAAAGCAATAATAACAGGAAGAAGAGTAAGAAGAAGAATTTGGGGCCTTTGTTTGATCCGAAAGCTAGGTATGAGTGGAAGTTATGCGGAGGTAGAAGCAAGCAGAGCTATATTCCTTGCATTGATATGGAAGGACTCGGGGGAAGGAGGCACCATGAAAGAAGTTGCCCTAGTGGGGCGGTGACATGTCTGGTGCCTCTACCAAAGGGTTATTCGGCTTCGGTGCCATGGCCGGAGAGTAAATCCAAGGTGTTCAGTTTTAATTCACCGCGACAGCGCGATTTTGGGATTTACGGGTTTCAGTGAGCGAAAGTTGTGATTTTTTATCTGGTTTGTTGATGCAGGTGCTTTTTGGGAATGTAGCTCATCCCAAGCTTTCTGCTTTTGTGAAGACGAAGAAGTGGGTGAATATTTCTGGGGAATATCTGACGTTTCCTTCCGGGGAGTCTGAGTTTAATGGTGGAGTGCAGCACTATCTTGATTCAATTGAAGAGGTGAATTGATTGCACATTTGTTTTGTGAACTTTTGTTAGATGATTACCAGTTGTTTCTGTCAATGGCATTGAAATTACATTACTTTCTAAAGTTTAGGAGAAGAAAATATAGTAATTGATGACATGTAGTGAGTGGAGATTCTGCTTTAGCAATTTCTGATTGAAACTCTATGAAGCAATCACAATCTTTTTTAATTAATTGTAGCTTGCTTGTTTCACATTGATGCATTAACTTCCAACACGATTTACTTAAACTTTCTTTTCTATTTTTGATTATTGAAGCTAAAAGATAGGTGGGATTTGACAAAAGCAATATAATTGATGCATTGGGATCGTAGAGATGGGAGCAAGCGTTTTTCTTCCTGAGAGCTAATGATTTTCGCTTCTGCTAAACTTTTTGTATCTTCTACCTTGATGTTAAGAGGGTAACTTCACACATAAACATGTCCAAGGTTAAAAAATAATGAGTTATCAGTCATATTTTATCATCAATAGAAGATGGGAAGTAAAACTCCGTTGCTTCCTAAACTTGAGGAAAATGAAAGAATTTATTGTTTGCATGAGTTGTTTTTGGATAAAATACTGTGTGGCCATTTAAATTCACAATGGATTAATTGATAATGTTTATGCTTTCTTGCTTCTTAAACTTTATTGGATATACTTAAATAATTTAATCTATTGATAGACTGACTACTCAGGAATTTAGCTTATTTGTTGCAGCTTGCAACTTTATATTTTTCCTGTTGGGCTGAAGTCTTAAGTAGTCATCATTGTTTATCATATACTGTTAATACATACATGCACATCAATGCATATCTATTTAGCCATTTTTCTAGTTCGTATGATTAGTAATTCATAGCAATTAGTGGTTTTTATTTGTGCAAAAAGTGAATTTTATATCTATATTGTGGATATTGAAAAAAAACTCTTCTTGTATTGAATAGATGGTACCTGACATTGAATGGGGGAAGAACATCCGCATTTTATTGGACATTGGATGTAGTGATGCTAGCTTTGCAGGCACTCTTCTTGAGAAGGATGTTTTAACTCTATCTTTAGGTATGATGAGCGATCAGATAAACTTTGCTCAAGTTCTTCTTGAACGCGGCATACCTGCTGTGGTGGGAAATCTGGGCACACGGAGACTCCCATTTCCTAGCAGCATTTTCGATGCTATTCATTGCAGTGGGTGCAATATACATTGGCATTCTAACGGTTTGTAACGAACCCAAAACATGTTCGGAAAACAACCATTTTTTTCCTTTTTAACCCTTTTTTAAATGATTTTTTGCTTTATGATGCAGGTGGGCGGCTCCTTCTGGAGATGAATAGGATACTACGTCCAGGAGGATACTTTATTATGTCATCTACACATGGAGATGCTGAAAGCGAAGTGGGTATGCTCATGAACTGACCTTAATATTAGTTTGTTGATGTATTTTGAAATTGGATTTGAGTGGTGCTTTTCATATCTTGCATCAAGTGCTAAGTTGAAGGATTTGAGGTTTTCAGAAGTGCAGTTTCATGCTGGTTTGCAAAATTGGTACTCATTTTTCATGAAAGCAACACTTCACCTTCTGCCTAAACAATTGTTGCAAAATCGAAAATTCTGCTTCTTATCTTTTGTTGGAAACTGATAGATCCCATTTCCATCTCACAATCTGTGCAGTATGAAACATTGCTATTTTTTTTTTCATCATTTGTGCATATTTATTATCTGATAGCTTCGCATCTAGTTCTTTTATAGCACTTCTTCGAATTTGAGAACATATTTTCTTGGCTGCTGAAGCTACTTCACATTCATTTCTCTTAGGAAGATTTACATATACACCACTCAATCATTATGTATTTACATATCTAACACCTAAACTACAATTTTCACATACAGTATACCTTACAAATATATGAGAAGGTGTATTTCATTTTTTTTAGAAGTTAAAATAATGGTATTTCTTATGTGTATGAAAGATTTCGGGGTATAAGTGTAAAAAGTAAAATTTAGATGTTAGATATGTAAATTCAAACCAGAAGGTAATATGCTGTCAAAAGATGCAAGATCACGGTCTCGTCTTTTAATAATTTTTTCCTTTCACTATGCTTAGATTTAGTCAAAAGGTGTAATCTGCAGAAACCATATAGAAATCTTATTTGAAAAAGTGGTTTGGCTGATGTCTAACTTGGCTGGAAAGCAATGCAGACTAATATGTATAGATGAGCAGGCTGAGATAAAATCATCATATATGCTATTATTTATCTCTAAGCTGCAACTGACATTGAGAATCGTAAACAGCTGGACTGGAATGGTCATGATGTGGCATGGATGCCATTTATATGTTGGGAAAAGTGTAAAAATGATCCCCTGCTCTTTGCACGTGATCATTTTAGTCCCAAAGTCTATAAAAGTGTCAATTTAGTCTCCCGACTCTTTTAATGGAGGCTAAATTAGTTCTTCATGGGGGTATTTGAACTTGTATTAAAAATGTATGTGGATTAATTTGGTAATTTTATAGACTGAGACTATAATAACAGCATGTAAATAGTCATGGGACTATTTTGGTACTTTTCTTTTTATATATTGGATATTTTATGGTTGACTCGCATAATTATGCGACAGTTGTGGCTAAGTATTAAATTTCTTTGATTTGTTTTCCTATAAGTTGCGTAAAGTTCTATGAAACTGTCAGAATAATTTTCATCTTCCTTTTTAGCTGGTTTACGTTACATTTTGAGAGAGAAAACTTATTTGAAAATGAAAAATATTCATTTTTCACTCTTTATTTTAATTATTCCAGGCATGTCATCATTGACAGCATCAATGTGTTGGAACGTGCTGGCTCATAAGACCGATGAAATCAGTGAACTGGGCGTTAAGTTATACCAGAGACCAGCGTCGAACGAGATATATGACCTGAGAAGGAGAAATGAACCATCATTCTTCCTTGGCTGTGTAATTGCGAAAGAGTTTCTTTTTCATCGAAGACCATGCTGTTTAATCAGCCATGCTGTTCTGTTTATTAATTGGAGGAATGATGCAGTACAAGATTGTGATATTAATGGAAGACAACGAAGAATGAAATAAGATGGTATGGCTAAATGGTTGGCCTCTTCCACAAGTTTGTTAAAATTATAATGTCTGTTATAATTATGATGTTATATTAAGTTATAATGATATAATATTCTACCATTGTTAATTTGTAATATTATGTTTTCATATTATTAAAGGTATAGTAGTGGTGTAATAAACTTCCTCATATTTACCAAAAGTTCACCCTCTAGCATATCGGTTAGATTATAGAATTCTATATCATATGGTATCATAGTTGAACCTAGCAAAACAAGGCCACCTTATACACCTTGCTAAGATGGTAAGAATGTTTTTGCACATTTTTATTATGGAAAATTTACATACATTCCATTTCTTATGTATTTACGTATCCAGCACCTAAACTTTTTTGCATATATAACAGTTTGAAAGACAACGAATTACAAGGATGTGGCAATAATGAAAGACAATGAATTATGAATGAAATTGCATGGTTATTTGATTGACCTCTTCTACAAGTTCAAAATTATAATATCTATTATAGTTATGATGTTATATTCTATTATTATGATATCATGTTTTGTTATTATTAGTTTGTAATGTTATATTTTCATATCATCAAAGGAGGTGTAGTCGTAGTGTAATATGCTTTATACTAGCCCTGATTGAGTCACACTACTTCATGTGCCTTCTTCACCTTCCCAAAGTAATATCAAACCAAGCTCACTTCTAATTGCTTCATCACATCCTCCATACATTTTTTGGGAAATTTACATACATACAACACAATTCTTATGTATTTACATATCTAACACCTAAAGTTAATATTTACACTTATAATACTTTGGTGTTATAAATCTATGCATGTCTGTATTTCATATCTAAAAAGTTAATAATTATGATTTTTTTTTGACATGATGCTAAAAATTTGAATGATATGTAAGCATGCATCTATAGCTGTTGATTATGAAAATACATAAGAAAATTCATGGAAGGGTTATTTATACTCCTTTCTTACATTAATGAAATAACCCGTTTTATTGCACATTATTCTGAATTTCAATATATATATTAAATTTATATAATATTTAAATAACAAGAAAATTTACTTCATCGACATACATCAAATGAAGCCTGATTCGAACAAGAAATCATTTTTGTATCATATCAATGATTCAGATGCGCCCGCACAATCGATTTTACAATCGGAGGTCATTAATGAATTACTCTTGATATGCTTCCAATACCTGTCGTGTAAGTTCAACTTTACTCATGGCAAAAGTTCAATTTTTTCCATTTTTAAGTAATTTTAACTTACATTAACAATTCCAAAATATTTTTTTTTTCTGATTAAAAAGCAGCACATAGAAGAGAAAAGAGGAAAAAAATAGAAAAAAAAAGGCATGCAATATCAACGTATCCCTACTGTAAAGGGAAAAATAGTATGTCCTGCATCCAGACAACGGCTGTGATTCACCGGAAGTCATTTTTTATATTTCTTTTTTTCTCCTTTGCTCCTTTCGGTGGATCGCAGCAGTTGTAGATTCATACTTACATATTTCCATTTAGTGTCACTCAGTGATTCATACTTACATATTTCATATTAAGTGTTGCAGCTTACGTCCAGACTGGACGTAATACTTTTTGCAAGTAAAGAAGTAGGTAATTAAACAATCACTACATTTTTTCTTTTAGTCTTAATCATGTATATCATCTACAATAACATAAGCTATTATACTCCATATATATATACTATCAACTAAAACTAACATTTAATTTACCAAAAAAAAAAAAAAAAAATTTTGGGCATTTCAAAACTTACACCCAATGCGTCTACCACTATCAAATTTCTCAGTTTTGAATCTTAGAAACTTGAGTATTATTCCTTTGCAAATACGAGTATTTTCACCGCCATATATTGAAGTTTTGTCATGTAATTCTCTCAGATTTGCAGCGGCTCTAATACCTCAAAAGGTTTGGGTTATGAATGTAGTTCCTGTACATGCTCCAAACACTCTTCCTATCATTTTCGAGCGCGGTCTGCTCGGCATCTACCATGATTGGTGTGAACCATTCAGCACTTATCCGAGATCTTATGATCTTTTGCACGCCGATCACTTGTTCTCCCGCCTCAAGAACAGGTGTGTACTATCAGTCTTTCATCAATGTTCTTCATTTTGTTTTTGTACCATCGCATTTGGTTTTGGTTTCTTTAGGAAGATTTACATATATATCGCTTAATTCCTATGTATTTACACATCTAATACTTTAACTTCAATTTTTACATATACTCCACTTTTCCTATGCATGAAAAAAGCGAATTTCACCGTGTAAAAGTTAAAATACTGATATGCGTGGTATTAATATAAAAGATAAAGTTTAGTTGTTAGATATATAGGAATTGAGTTGAATGTTTGAAATGTCCTTTTTTTCTAATCTTCCTATAACGAAGGTCATGGCTGTCAACAGGTGCAGACCCAAGCTGAGTCCAGGGGGCAATTGTCCCTCATCAAATTCAAATTTTTACTAATATTAAAGAGTAATTTGGTCTTTTGCCCCTCCTAAAATATCAATTTTGCCCCTCCTGAAATATTACTGTCCTTTGTTGTCCTAACCACTCAAATACATAGTAATTGAGTGGTAATCTTCCTGAAACAAAATTTGCTAGATTTTGATCTCCAGAATCTCTTTTTAACAGGTGCAAACAACCCATCGCCATTCTAGTTGAGATGGATAGAATACTGAGGCCTGGAGGTTGGGTCATCATACGAGACAAAGCAGAGATTTTGAATCCCATAGAGAAAATATTTAAAACATTACACTATAATATAACTCTGACATTCACTCAGGACAGGGAAGGTATTATCTGCGTGCAGAAAACAATCTGGAGACCGTTGGGATGAAATTTGTTTTGAAAAATACTGTCTTGATGATCATCAATGGCGGCTTCTCAGCTTCTTCTTCAATACACAACAGAGGTACGTTTCAAGGATTGATTTAAATATCTAATATAAAATTATTTATGTGCTCCAGCCACTTGATTCTCATGTATTTACATATCTACCGGCTAAAGTTTGATATTTGCGTATGTAACACTATGATGTTATAAACCTATGCATGAGAAAGTGTATTTTAGTTTTAGAACGTTAGTAAGAGTGTTGTTTTTTATTCGATGTCGAAGATTTGAATGTTATTTATGTAAATATTGAAGTTCAGTTGTTAGATGTGTAATAATATGGGGGCGTTTGCATACATACCATACAATTCTCATGTATTTACATGTCTAACACTCGAACTCTTATATTTAAATGCATACCACTCAAATCTAAGACACCGCATTAAAAGTACTGTCATCACTTTTTCATTTATAGGTTTATGACACAAATGTGTTAAAAGTATAAATATTAAATTGTAGGCATTAGATATGTAAATACATAAAAAAATTGTGGTATGTATGTAAATCGTCCATACTATATATGAATTGTATGATATGTAAAAGCTGCAAACAATTTTGTGGCTCTGCCATCGAATTTTTTATTCATTCCATGGTTTTATTTCTGCTAAATTCTATATGAGAACAATCCTAATAGAACAATCCTAAATTTTCCATACCTACCATTCAATTCCTATGTATTTACATATCTAACACGTAAACTTTGTTTTTTACATGCATACCACATTCCTTGTGCATGAAAAGGTGTATTTCACATTTTAGAAGTTTAAACTATTGTATTTTTTATTTGATATGAAAGATTTGGTTGGTATATATGTAAAAAGCAAAATTTAGGTGTAAAACATGTAGAGTTATAGGAATTGGGAGGTCTCTATGTAAACACCCCTTTTTTTATTTTATTTTAGGATGATCCCCCAAATGTTTAATCTTTCATTCTTCGTGTTGTTTATCTGAGATTTGCATTGAATAAACATTTTTATAGTATTGCAGGCTTCTAGTAATTTATGTGCTGCATTTTCTAAAGAATAATATCGTGTATCGTTTTGATGTGCCACACTGTATCATTTCTGATGACGGGCTAACTTTCAATATCACCAAGATCAATCAATTCGCTCGTCAACATCAGATCGATTGACGGTATTCTACGATATACTACCCGAGAGCTAACTGTCTGTAAGAAATGTTTGTTATTGTAAATGGGGTATAATCTCCCATATGTTTAATCTTGATTCATTTAAGATATTGTTTCTTATGTATAAGTTATATTCATTTCTTATTGGTGCCTTTACATACACAACACATTATTCTTTTTTATTTACACATTTAACCTTTAAACTTATATATTTACATGAATTTCTCTGAAATTTTTGACATCACATCAAAAATACTATCATATGTAATGGCTAATGTTTTTCTTATTAATGTTATAAATGTAAATGTTAGCTTACATGTCAGACATAAATTGAGAAAAAGTGGGTCATATGTGTGCAGTATTTCATGCATGTCACCCAATTTTTTTTTGTATTTATGTATCTAACATTTATGCTTCGATTTTTATATTTATACCACTGAAATATTTCATATCACATAAAAAATACCTCCATTTTAATATTTAAAAAGTGAAATACACATTTTACAGTATGGTTATGGTGATATGTACTTAAAATTTGAAGGTGGTTAAATATGTAAATTTATAGAAATTGAGTGGTATGTATATAAATCCTTAAAAAGGGAAATGAACTCAAACTTCGTCCAATCTTTCTTGCACATTGAACCTTTACCATTCATTTAGAAGGAATTCCTTGCAAAATTTTAAAAGCCAAAATAATTTCATGAAATTATATTTATTGTTGAAAGATAATGATTTCTTGGTTTAATTTATCAAAACACTCTCGCGATTTGCTCGGCATGAAAGATTTTCGTATGAGAAAACTTTTGCGGTCTGGGGAACGTCAAGATCATGAGACCTTCCGTTCTTTAGACCCAAAGAGTGGGCTTTGTTCTTCTTATCACAAAAACGAAACCACAAGAGCAAACATGAGATTACTACAAACTAGTCTTACCGATTTCAGGCTAAGAAGAAAAGGGTAGGTTTCTCTATTCGTAGGCAGATCGAAATGCACCTTACCTATGGGGCTTTTCTCTAGCACAAAAACATCATAACCTACATCCACTAACATTAGGAATGAAAATGTAAGAGCTTAAAGAATCTCACCGATGCGGTGGTTGATGACACGTTCTCTGGACTTGTTCAAACAGTCGGTGTCCAAGCCACGCACAGACATACTTCGCAATACATGTACAAAACGAATAAGAAATAAGGCATGAGGGTAGAAGTGAGGTATATAAGTATTTAAAATGAATGATCATAGCATACAAAAATAAAACCAACAGGTACCTTTGTGAGAGGGGCTATTTGGAACGAGGCATGCCCAAATTTACCTCGTTGTTGACAACAATTTTTGATGTCACGTGTAAGGGATGTCTATTTAAACAACATAAAGTTGTATCCAGCTTCCTGTCGTCCAAGACATTCAATCAGACCTCCTGGTATGTGACCCAAGCATGAAATCAAAATCGGTATCAACTTGACCCTACTCGGAAAAATTCATTGTAAAGTGGGGTTAGCTTTTACTCTAAACGTGCTTTATGTCTGTTTATATGTTGAGAGACCCAACTCCATAATTCCAAACTCTTTTGGAGACCAAGGGTAGTCGTTAGGATTCCCCATGCACATTTTGAAGAAATTTAGGTTCGGGCTGATTTTATCCCCAAGAGGGTTCGGGATGCCCATCGATACCAGAATCCCCGTTTTGAAACTGACCAACACTCGCCAACTGTTGTCAATTACCATCGGTCGCCTCCCACTTCTTACTACAAGTTCATTGCACATCGACGTTGTAACTGAAGAGACTGTATAAACCCTTTCCTACATATTGAACAAATAGTTGTAACTATAATCATCAAATTATATTGGATCTTTTTAACTGTGCCGAACCTCATGATTTTTATTTTCTTTTTTGTGGTTTCCACGTAAAAAATGTATAGTGTCTCTACTCATTGTTTTCTTTTATCTGAGTGCGTGTTAAATTCTCGTACAATATGTAGATGATAATCTATTACTCTGTCGATATGAATTTACTACCTCGCATCACCATGTAAATCTTCCCATAAAACATTGATAAAAATTTGCATATAATGGATAGGACAAGTCCCCCTCATGAAAGTAGATAATAATAAGAAGAACTCATATATCTTTTGGCCCAAGATAAGACCATGAAAAAGTGCTTTTAATAAATCGTGAAAGGAAAGGTATGATAACTTTCTCATTAAGGAAAGCATGATAAAGACTACGGCCTCCCATTTACTAATTCTACTAAATAATTATGGTCATACCAACTTAATATTATGTTAATTGGCTTCGAAGGAAACTTATGGGAGAAAATTTTAGAGGTATAAACTTCATTTATGGGCTTAATATGGGAGAAAATATTACATGCGATCATATGTACTTGTGGATTAGGGCTGTGCACCCCGAGTACCTATAACCACATGTGGGTCTTAGTGTTTTCTGGCTATACACGACTAATCCACAAGTACATATGACCGTGTGGGTCATAATAATATTATGGTTGTACACCATTTGCAAAGTTATTAGGGCCCACGTTCAACCATAAAATTTTATGCAGATGGTTGCATTCAAGATGTTTATACGTTCAACCATCTGCATGATAATTCTACTTCGTGTGGGTCATTGAAGTCATTGATATAGGAGAAAATATTACATACAGTCACACGAACTTATGGATTTGGAGTATATGTCTCAAGCACACTATAAATACATCTATAGTACAACCTGAATGCACATATCTGTCTGTACGAATGAATCACACAAAATATTTTTTCTTCATGCGGGTGGACCTCTTTTAGTGTTATTTGCGTTAGAATGATTAACATACATTTCACGCAATTCTAATATATTTGCATAATTAACATATAAACTTCATTTTTTACATATCTGTCATCTTATCTATGTATGTAATTGTTCTTTTCAATTTTTAAAAGTTAAAATTATGATAATTTTTATGTGATATGTAAGATTTAGGCGATATATTTAAATGTAAAATGTAAAGTTTGTGTTAGATATAAAAGTATATAGGAAGTATATAGGAGTTGAGTGGTGTATATATATATATATATATATATAT